CTTACGGCGGGGCCTGGGGGCCGACCTGGGCCCCTTGGTTGCCCCTCCCTTACGGCCCTCCCAGCTGATCCCCTTTTAGACCCTCTCCAAAGGAACGACGCAGGCAAAACTCCAAGAAAACGAGGCCCCAGAAAATCACCTTAAAGTCGTAGGACTCTTCTATGATGACCTCGAGCCGGCAGTTTTCCCCAAGAACCGGCTTGCCCATCTCTGCTATCCGCCGGGCCTCCTCCTCCTCGGCCGTCAGCTTCCTGTCCCCGTCCCCTGCAGCACGAGGCGTGGCAGTTAGCCTGGGGAGGCCACCCTGATTGGGCCTGTGATGCCTTCGCTGCCTGTCTGGGAAGCCACCTGGCGACACCTGCCCAGCCTCCTATCTGACCACCATCTCCCCCAGCTTGTGCCCCAGCTCCCGTGGCTGACCCCTGAGGTTCAGCTGGTGGGCTCTGGCGTTACTATGGTGGGCGCTGTGTGACCTTGGGCAATGCTTTAGCCTCTCTGTGCCTCAGTGCTCATATCTATAGAATAGGCACAATAATAGTACCTACCTCGCAGGGTTAAAAGAATTCATGGTGTTTAGAACAGTGCTTGGCACATGATAGTCAGAAATGTTATTTTCTTCTTTAAATTTTTAAAAAATATCTATTTTTTATTTATTTTAGAGAGAGGAAGGGAGAGGGAGAGAGAGAGAGAGAAACATCAATGTGAGAAACTTTCATTGTCTGCCTCCTGCACACCCCCTTCTCGGGACTGAGCCCACAACCCAGGATTGTGCCCTGACTGGGAATCTAACTGGAGACCTTTTGGTGCATGGGACGACACTCAACCAACTGAGCCACACCAGCCGGGGCAGAAATGTTATTTTCTTTATTGTTATCACCAACATCATCAACATCATCACCACTCTTGAGGGAGGAGCCCTGATCTCTACACCCAAGCTCTGAAAATATCCTAGAGTATGTTTGAGGGGGTGAGGAAACAGGGGGTGCTTGTAATTCAGTACAAACATTGGACCTAAACCCCCTATCGCTGGCCCTGAATTCCTTTATCTCCATAAAGTATGTTGATCCTTTGCTCCAAGTCCAGCACCAACCCAACCCTAACTCTCAGAAGAAAGTCACCAACCAGCCAGGCACACTCTCAGAAAACTTTGCCCAAGCAAGAAATGACTTTTACCCTGGCCAGTGTGGCTCATTTGGTTGGGTGTTGTCCCATGCACCAAAAGGTTGCCAATTTGATTCCTGGTCGGGTCACATGCCTAGGTTGTGGGTTTGATCCCCAGTAGGGGGCATGCAGGAGGCAACCTATTGATGTTTCACACACATGGATGTTTCTCTCTTTCTCCCTCTCCCTTCCTCTCTCTCTAGAAATCAATTAAAAAATCCTTAAAAAAAAAGAAAAAAAGAAATGACTTTCTGTTCATCTACTGGGACTTGGGGCCTATTTGTTACAGCAGTTTGTTTTACGCTGACTATTACAATCTTTAATCCACCCTTAATCGTAACCCCAACCCCCAAATCTAGTCTCTCATTATCTCCAAGCCACTGAACCTAGCCCCAACTCTCACCCCAATCTCAGGTTCTGCCCGCAATTCTAATCACAAATCCCGAAACCAACTTCCATCTTAACTCTAACCTTGACCGAGTCCTAATCTTAATCTCAAATCCTAACCCCACCCCAGTCCTAATCAACCTCAAGCCTGATTTCTTCTGACCCACCACAAACCCAGACTGGATTCTATGACTTACTCCCCACTCTGACCTTAACTACAAACAAAACAATACTGGCCTCTGAACCCCTAGCTGTAACCCCAAACTCAACTGGCCCTACCAACCCTAAGGCCAGCTCCAACCCTCACCCAGCCCCAAATCTACCTTTACCTCACCTTCAACCTGCCTCAAACGTGACCTGGAAGGGTAGCTCGAGGCCATGCCCCTCCCAGGAGATGCCCCCTCCAGTGTCCCCTGTCTAGTTAAAGCCAGGTGACTCCACTCACCTTGATTGAGCAGCAGAGCTGGGGAGAGACAGACAGAGAGAAAGTGAGATCGCTCCCCTGGGAAGCTCAGATCCATGAGTTTGAAGGAGCACCCACAATGGATCCCCAAGGGCCCCCGCACCCTGGACCTTTTATCTCCCCTGCAGCCCGCCCCTCGCCCTCACCTGAGATCCCTCGCTTCAGCCACTGTGGCTGGCCCAGCTCAATGAAGAAGTTGTCCTTTTTCTCGTATTCTTCATCGTCAACTATCTTCACCTGGAGAGTTTTCCTGGGCGGGAGCGGGACATCCAGCGTAAGGCCCTCCCCGAGTCTCGAGACAACTTACCTCTTAGCCGCCCAGCTTCCCGAGCCCCACTCCATCCCCGGTTCTGTCATCTCATTAATCTTCGCAACCATCCCTCGAGGAAGCGTTTCTCCTCCACTCCCCCAACCCCATTTGACAGAAAGAAGCCCAGAAACAGCTGAGGAAGCTGAGGTTTATTCAAGAGCAATCTGAGGAGCTCCAACACAACCTAAGTTCGATGGAGTCCTTCCTCTGCTCAAGGCATTCACGAGGCTCTCTCTCATTCAGGATTGAAGCCGGAGTCCTCTGGATGGCCCTTGCTCCCTTTCTGGCCTCCCACCCCCACCCCTTGCTCACTTACTACAGCTACTGGCCTCTTCACTGTTCCTTAAACAACCAGGCCTGCAGGAGCCTCGAGGCCTTTACACGGCTGTATGTTCCATAGAGAACACAGTTCCTCCAGGCTCACTCTCTTACTTCCTCTAGTTCTCAAACTCCACCTTCTATTCCAGTGAGAACCAGTGCCACCACCTTCCTCGGTGTTGGAATCTGGCCCTGTGCTAACCTGAACCCTAACACTAACCCTGAATCATAACCTTCTTTAGTATAGAAATCCATCCCTGCCCTAAACCTAACATTACCCCTAACCTTAGGCCTAACCCTAACCCTAACCCTAACCCTAGCCTTAACCCTTTCCTTAGTATTGAAATCCATCGCGGCCCTAACCCTAACCATAGAACTAACCCTAGCCCTAGCCTTAACCCTAGCCCTAGCCCTAACCCTAACCCTAGCCCTAACCCTAACCCTAACCCTAGCCCTAACCCTAACCCTAGCCCTA